AGTCTAGTGAAGAGAAGGACCAGGGGAGACAGGATAGCAGTCTTCCAATATTTGAGGGGCTGCCACAGAGAGGAGGGGTTCAGGTTATTTTCCAAGGCACCCAAAGGCCAGACAAGAAATAATGGATGAAAAGTGACCGAGGAGAGATTCAACCTGGAAACAAGGAGAAATGTTCTGACAGTGAGAACCATCAACCCATGGAACAGAAGTTGCCTTCAGAGGTGGTGGGAGCTTCATCATTGGAGGCTTTCAAGAAGAGACTGGACTGCCATCTGTCAGAAATGGTGTAGGGTCTCCTGCTTGGGCGGGAGGGGGTTGGACTAGATGACCTACCAGGTCCCTTCCAACTCTGTTAGTCTGACTTTAATGAACAAAAGGACCAGGGGAGACATGATAGCAGGCTTCTAATATTTGAGGAGGTGCCACAGAGAGGAGTGGGGGGCGGGGGGGGGGGGGGGTCAAAGCACCCGAAGGCCAGACAAGGAATAATGGATGGAAACTGATCAAGGACAGATTCAACCGAGAAACATGGAGAAATTTTCTGACAGTGAGAACAATCAACCAATGTCGTAAAGTAGGGCAGTCACAGGACTGATTCGAGTGTTCAATCTTTTTTGTGGGGCTGGTTAAGCAAATCCGTGGTCATTAAGTAAATGCCGTAGTCACTAAATAAACCAATGGTTTATTTATTTAGTTGGGAATGGGGATTTTGCAGTATCCTTCCCCCAGGAGTGGGGAGGGAATGGGGATTTTGCAATATCCTTCCCCCAGGAGTGGGGAGGGAATGGGGATTTTGCAGTATCCTTCCCCTGAAGTGGGGTGGGAATGGGGATTTTGCAGTATCTTTCCCCTGCCACACCCACCAAGCCACACCATGCCCACCAAGCCACGCCCACAGAACCAGTAGTAAAAAAAAATGGATTTCACCACTGTCTGAGTGGCTTCTGTTTCCCCAGCATCATAATGGACTGAATCTCTCCTCATAACAATGGCCCCAAAGTGTTATTTCAGTCAGGAGGGAGCATCCTTTACATCTGTTTTATTATGAACTTCATAATAAAATCATTGTGATATTTTGGAACACCGGAACCTTTGACGTATTTCACCAGGCAACTATTGTCTCATGAAACATGCACAAACTCTACACAGGATAAATGAGAATCATTGTCACCCGTGGGAAGGGTGGAAGTCTCCACAGTCTGAAAATGGTAATTTGGAGAAGGAAGACAACAGAAAAATAGAGTTGGAAGGGACCTTAGAGGTCTTCTAGTCCAACCTCCTGCTCAGGCAGGAGACCCTATACCATTTTAGACACACGGTTGCCCAGTTCCTTCTTAAAAGCCTCCAGTGTTGGAGCATTTACAACTTCTGGTGGCAAGTTGTTCCACTGATTAATTTTGTCACTGTCAGGAAATTTCTCCTTAGTTCTAGGTTGCTTCTCTCCTTGATCAGTTTCCATCCGTTGCTTCTTGTCCTGCCCTCAGGTGCTTTGGAGAATAGCTTGACTCCCTCTTCTTTGGGGCAGCCCCTGAGATATTGGAACACTGCTATCATGTCTCCCCTGGTCCTTCTTTTCACTAGACTAGACATATTCAATTACTGCAACTGTTCTTCATATTTTGATCATTTGATTATTTTGTCTATTCTTTACAAGGTCCTTCCTTCCTTCCTTCCTTCCGTCCGTCCTTCCTTCCTTCCTTCCTTCCTTCCTTCCTTCCTTCCTTCCTCCCTCCCTCCCTCCCTCCTTTCCTTCCCTTCCCTTCCCTTCCCTTCCCTTCCCTTTCTTTCCCTGTTTTCTATTCTTCCTCTTTTTCCTTGTTCCTTTCCTCCCTCTTTCCTCCATTTCCATTCTTTCTCTTTCCCCTTCCCTTTCTGTTCCTGTTTCCTTTCCTTCCTCTCTTTTTCCTTCTTCCTTTCCTCCTTCCTCTCTTCCCTTCCCCTCCCCTTCCCACTTTCCTATCTTGTCTGCCCACCCATCTCTTTCTTACATTTGTATGCTGCAACAACTGCTCTCTTCTGTCAAAAAGCTATTGAGATAGGCTGCTGGGTTTCATTGATTAGGGAGGTGCTGCCACCTTCTGTCTGCAATTGTCATTCAGGACATTTTTATTTTTATTTTAAATAATTAAACAGAATTGTTCAATTGTCCTGCAGTGAGTTGTCCAGTGACGACTTGGTTGCGGTGAACTGGCTATGGCAAGTTGGTCAATTCGCCAAGCAAACACAGCTAATGACATAAAAGCCATCCATCAACACACCATCAATCAACCTCTAAAAAGCCACATACAACAAACACTATAAACAACACACCCAGAACAGTACACAATCAGCTAAAGCAAACTGCATCCAGTTTTGGTTACCACACTATAAAAAAAGATGTTGAGACTCTAGAAAAAGTGCAGAGAAGAGCAACCAGGATGATTAGGGGACTGGAGGCTAAAACATATGAAGAACGGTTGCAGGAACTGGGCATGGCTAGTCTAACGAACAGAAGGACCAGGGGAGACATGATAGCATCTTCCAATATTTGAGGGGCTGCCACAGAGAGGAGGGGGTCAAGCTATTTTCCAAAGCACCTGAAGGCCAGACAAGGAATAATGGATGGAAACTGACCAAGGAGAGATTCAACCTGGAAATAAGGAGAAATTTTCCAACCAGTGGTGGGTTCTTCCCAGTTCGGCCCGGTTCTCCCGAGCCGGTAGCGGTAACGATATGACATCACTGAACCAGTTCTGCCCCCCAACCTCCCCGCACCCCCACCCCCGCATTATTCTTACCTTTTATTTGGCCCCACCCCCAATCTATTGCTGCCTCCTGAGTCCCAGCTGATGGCTAGAGGGAAAAAAACTGTTTAAACTCTTGCCGCAGGGCTTCAAAGGGCCGCCCTACAGCTGATCAGTGTTAAAAGAAAACAAATGAGTAGACCGGTGCCTGCAAAAATACATGAGTAGACCAGTGCCTGCAAAAAATAAATGGGTAGATCGGTACAGCTCTGCAAGCAGTTAAAAGCCTGGTAGACCAGTCCCACTGCTAAATCCTAAAGAATTGTCACATGACCATCAAGCCATGCCCACAAAATAAGCCACGCCCACAGAACCGGTAGTAAAAAAATTTAGAACCCACCCCTGTTTCCGACAGTGAGAAGAATCAACCCATGGAACAGAAGTTACCTTCAGAAGTTGTGGGAGCTTCATCACCTGAGACTTTCAAGAACAGATTGGACTGCCATTTGTCAGAAATATATAGGGTCTCCTGCTTGAGCAAGGGGTTGGACTAGATGACCTATAAGGTCCCTTCCAACTCTGTTAATCTGCTAAATCTGTTGGAGCAAAGTTCCCTGAAGATGGGCTCCAACACAAGTCCGAAAGCCCAGAAGACAAAACCTCTGGTCCCAGTGACCGACCCAGATCGGATTCTGAAATGTTAGTACGGTATATATTGCTAGTCCACGTATGATATGCCATATGCTAAATCAATAAGTAACCCCAATCCCAAACTGGCATGTGTTTGCAATGTGTATTCTCCCTGCCACCGCACCTTACCCACATATCTGATTTTTTTTTATTTTTTATTTTGAATTTGTATACCGCCCTTCTCCCTGAGGACTCAGGGCGGTGAACAGCCAAATAAAAACATCAAATACAAGTATTAAAACACAGTTAAAATATATATATAGATTTGGCCCCATTAATTAAAACGATAAACAAGACAAAACAATTAATAAACCCTTAAAAAGAAATTAAGCCAGCCCGGCTTGTTGAAAAAAGAAAGTTTTAAGGGCACGGCGGAAGGCATTGAGGTCTTGGATTCTCCTTATCTCAGGGGGCAGCTGATTCCAGAGGGTGGGAGCCCCCACAGAGAAGACCCTCCCCCTGGGGGTCACCAGCCTGCATTGTTTGGCTGATGGCACCCCGAGGAGGCCCTCTCTGTGGGAGCGCACGGGTCGGTGGGAGGTCGTCGGTGGCAGTTGGCGGTCTCGAAGATAGCTAGGCCCTATGCCATGGAGCGCTTTAAAGGTGATAACCAACACCTTGAATGATTGACAATGTTGTGTAAAACGGAATGGTCAAACTTTTCTAAGATGGATTTACTGAAAGTCACACAGAGATTTCTCATAAGCAAGTTTATTGCGAGGATTAAGAAAGCCACTGAGAAAGAATTCTAAGACCGATGCGCAGGTAGTCCTTTTTTCAGTACTATTGTGACTTCGGTTGCTAAATGAACTGTTGTAAGCCGAGGTTCTGAAGGTTGACTCAGCCTGCCATCCTTCCGAGGTGGGTAAAATGAGGATCCAGATTGTTGGGGGTAATATGCTGACTCTGTAGACTGCTTAGAGAGAGCTATAAAACAGGGGTGAAATCCAGCAGGTTCTGACAGGTTCTGGAGAACCGGTAGCGGAAATTTTGAGCAGTTTGGAGAACCGGCAAATACCACCTCTGGCTGGGCCCAGGAGTGGGGTGGGAATGGGGATTTTGCAGTATCCTTCCCCTGGAGTGGGGAGGGAATGGAGATTTTGCAGTATCCTTCCCCTGGAGTGGGGAGGGAATGGAGATTTTGCAATATCCTTCCCCTGGAGTGGGGAGGGAATGGAGATTTTGCAATATCCTTCCCCTGGAGTGGGGGAGGAATGGAGATTTTGCAGTATCCTTCCCCTGCCCACCAAGCCACACCCACCAAGCAGAGGTGGGTTTCAGCAGGTTCTGACCAGTTCTGGAGAACCGGTAGCGGAAATTTTGAATAATTCGGAGAACCGGTTGTAAAAATTCTGACTGGCCCCATCCCCATCTATTCTCTGCCTCCCAAGTCCCAGCTGATCGGGAGGAAATGAGGATTTTGCAGTAACCTTCTCCTGGATTGGGGAGGGAATGGAGATTTTACAGTATCCTTCCCCTGCCATGCCCACCAAGCCGTGCCACACCCACCAAGCCACACCCACAGAACCGGTAGTAATTTTTTTTTTTGAAACCCACCACTGCCACAAGCCACACCACGCCCACCAAGCCACGCCCACAGAACCAGTAGTAAAAAAATTTGGATTTCACCACTGCTGCAAAGCACTATGAAGCGATATATAAGTCTAAGTGCTATTGCTAACTTTTGCTTTTGCTTTTGGCTAACTAGCTATTGCTTTCATTTAATGTGTCATACAGGTAAGCTATTAGGTTTGTACCCTGGATGTGTTTGTTATGTGAAATTGTTTGGCAGAATAACAAGCACCGTTGAAAAGGTCAATTTTCTTCTTCCGTAGTGTTTAGCAAGTTCTATTTCCAGTTCCCTTAGGCTAGGCTGGACTATCTGAATCTGATTATTTTCTGCCATCACTCCCAAGATTTTCTCTGCTTGCGTTAGTCACACAACAAGCTGCAGCCCACATATGACTAGGTATGTTCACTCTGCCATGAGCAATGAATTTATCCCCTGGCACCACTCCCATAAGGACATAGGTATCAAGGCACCCTTTAGAAAGTTTCGTCATATTTCTTTCATATTCTGCCCATTTTCCTTGATTGAGTCGGCGAAACTGGGGCACGACGTTGGTTAAGGTGAAGGTCGCGGCTTTGCTGTCCCGATTCGGTTGATGGGACACAGGTAGCAAGTGTCCTCGGTTGTATACAGTAGTCTGTTTGTAATCATTGGAAAGAGCCTGGCTGTGTTGAAGGAGCTTGTGGTTGATTTTACAAGATTTTTCCGATTCCATGCTTTTTTGTGTACGGTCCCTAGGCAGCGCAAGCTAGGAATAAGGAAGGACAAAGAATGGGCTTAGTTAGCATTCACACAGCGCTGAATCAGATATCCTGAATCTGGGGGGGGGAAATCTACCATGAATCTGTCAGGGTGTGAGATATGCGATACTCTACAATAGGACTTTGCGTACTCAGTGGCCTTCAGATAGATAATAGCACAGCACAGCACAGAATATTCTAGAATAGAATAGAATAGAATATTCTAGAATAGAATAACAGAGCTGGAAGGTATCTTGGAGGTCTTCTAGTCCGACCCCCTGCTCAGGCAGGAAACCTTATACCCATGATGGCAAACCTATACCACGTGTGCCACAGGTGGCACATGTAGCCATATTGGTGGGCACGCAAGCTCAGCGTGAGACAGGAAGTTGGCAAACGGGCCATTTTCGGCCTCCAGAGGGTGTCCGAGGGGGTGGGGAAGGCCGTTTTCACCCTCCACAGACTCCTAGAAAGGCTCTAGAGCCATTTCAGACAAATGTTTGTCCCATCTCTTTCTTACAAAACTTCCACTGTTAGAGCACTCACAGCTTCTGGAGGGAAGTTGTTCCACTAATTCATTGTTCTAACTGTCAGGAAATTTCTCCAAAGTTCCAGGTTGCTTCTCTCCTTGATTAGTTTCCATCCATTGCTTCTTGTCTTATCTTCAGGGGCTTTGGAAAATAAATTAATCCCATCTTCTTTGTGGCAGCCCCTCAAATACTGAAATACTTCTACTCTACTAAATACATCCCTACTCTAGATTAAACTAGACATACCCAATTCCAGCAATTGTTCTTTACATGTTTTAGTCTCCAGTCCCCTAATCATCTTTGTTGCTCATCTCTGCATTCTTTCTAGAAACTCAACATATTTTTACATCGTGGCAATCAAAACTTGATGCAGGATTCCAAGTGTGACCTCACCAAGGCATTATAAAGTGGTACTAACACTCCACGTAATCTTTATTCTATCTCTCCTTTCTTTTTGATAGCATCTTCCAAGCATCCTAGCCAACGGGGCAGCTAAGAGCCATGGTGTCGCAGTTGTTAGAATGCGGTATTGCAAGCTGTTGACTGCCAGCAGTTCGATCCTGACCAGCTCAAGTTGGACTCAGCCTTCTATCTTTCCGAGGTCAGTCAAATGAGTTCCCCAATTGTTGGGGGCCATAGGCAACTCTGTAAACCGCTTAGAGAGGGCCGTAAAGCACTATGAAGCGGTATATAAGTCTAAATGCTACTGCTATATTTGCATAGATTGGGCAACCATTTGACTGGGATGGTATCAGGCTCCTGCCTTCACCAGTGGGTTGGACTAGAAGACCTCCAAGGTCCGTTCCAGGCCTGTGATTCTACGATTCTATGATGGCCTTCATATAGATTGGAATAGCATCTTTCATGCTTCCCTGGGAATTCTGGAAATTGAGATTCCCCAGATAATCCCTCTTGGGAAGTCCACTTTAAACTATCCTCTAATAGAGAATACACATTGCTCAGACTTGTAATTTTAGGTGCTCTCTGAGTTTTTTTTTTTTTTTTAGGGAAAGAATCAGATGGAAGTATGTCCTTGCCAATGGGGATAACAGAATTCTTACAGCCTAGTTCCTGCAGAACTCTGGGGTTAATTATGTGCAAATTAGCTGAATACCCATGCTCCGCTATGAAACTATGATTGGGTTTGATAAATCGACACTTACAGCTTGAAAATTAATGAGCAGTTACAATCGGCCTCTCCTCTCCCTTTCTCTCCCTCAGCCTTGCCCCACAGAAGCCTCCCTCCTATCCTATCCCCTTCTCTCCCTCAGGATTTCCCCACAGAAGCCTCCCCTATCCTATCCCCTTCTCTTCCTCAGATTTTCCCACAGAAGCCTCCCCTATCCTATCCTCTTCTCTCCCTCAGCCTTGCCCCACAGAAGCCTTCCCTATCCTATCCCCTTCTTTCTCAGCCTTGCCCCACAGAAGCCTGCCCTATCCTATCCCCTTCCTTCCTCAGCCTTGCCCCACAAAAGCCTCCACTATCCTATCCCCTTCTCTCCCTCAGCCTTGCCCCACAGAATCCTCCCCTATCCTATCCCCTTCTCTCCCTCAGGCTTGCCCCACAGAAGCCTCTCCTGTCCTATCCCCTTCTCTCCCTCAGCCTTGCCCCACAGAAGCCTCTCCTGTCCTATCCCCTTCTCTCCCTCAGGCTTGCCCCACAGAAGCCTCCCCTGTCCTATCCCCTTCTCTTCCTCAGGATTTCCCCACAGAAGCCTCCCCTATCCTATCCCCTTCTCTCCCTCAGGCTTGCCCCACAGAAGCCTCCCCTATCCTATCCGCTTCTCTTCCTCGGGATTTCCCCACAGAAGCCTCCCCTATCCTATCCCCTCTCTTCCTCGGGATTTCCCCACAGAAGCCTCCCCTATCCTGTCCCCTTCTCTTCCTCAGGATTTCCCCACAGAAGCCTCCCCTATCCTATCCCCTTCTCTCCCTCAGGATTTCCTCACAGAAGCCTCCCCTATCCTATCCCCTCTCTCTCTCAGGCTTGCCCCACAGAAGCCTCCCCTATCCTATCCCTTTCTCTACTTCAGCTTGCCCCACGGTTGTAGAGATTTCGTGTTTCTGGCTGAGTGTTTTTCACATTTATATACATAGATAATTCTTAAATTCATGCCTGTCATTATTTCCTAACATCTGATTGTTGCTTTAAGGTTGCCCTCCATTACATGAATGTTTAACTTCAAATAGGTACTCTTTTTACCTGCGGTTCGATCTTCCAGTCGTTTGTTCTTCCGCTTCCACCTGGTTGGTATTTATATGCCGAGAATATAGGGATGCGCCGATCTTTGTCGTACATTGTGGCAAATCGATACTTGGCCTGGTAGTACTGGCAGATTGTGGCCAGATTCTTGACAGCAGTGGCAACTTGGGGGATTTATGATTTAAAAAAAACTGAGTGCAGGTTTTGAAATTGGTCACTACCTCCCCAGTTGCAGGCAGTAGAAAAGAGGCAGCCAGGGAGAGGATCCATCGTGGCAACATGGCCGTGTGCTTGGATGTTTGGTCCTTCTAGTGGAACTTTTCCACCTGAAAAAAAGAGTGAGAAAGCTCTGATTCAGCCATTCTTCCTTTTCCATGCAGAATGTAAGAATGACCTTGAGGTTGGGTTGGGTTTGGCCATGGGCACAGGAAGTCCAGCAACCTTCTCAGAGGGAGGGCAACCAGATTGCTTACAGTCTAGATGGGACAGCCAAAATGTAGGAAGAGAAGAGCAATGGGAAGGAGGCAGAGAAAAGAAGGACGAGGAAAGAAATGGAAAGGAAGAAGGAAAGAAAGGAAGGGAAGGGAAAGGAAAGGAAAGGAAAGGAAAGGAAAGAGGGAGGAGAGGAGAGGAGAGGAGAGGAGAGGAAAGGAGAGGAGAGGAGAGGAGAGAGGAGTAAGGGTAAGGTAAAGAAGAGAAGGGTGGGGGGAAAGAAAGGGAAAGGAAGAGAAAAAGAAGGGAAGGAAAGGAAAGGAAAAGGGAAGGGGAAGGGGAAAGGGAAGGACGAGGGAAAAAAAGACAAAAGGAAGAAGGAAAGAAAGGAAGGAAAGGAAAGGAAAGGAAAGGAAAGGAAAGGAAAGGAAAGGAAAAAGGAAAGGGGGAAAGGAGGACGGGAGAAGGAAGGGAGAGGAGAGGAGAGGAGGGAAGGGAAAGGAAAGGAAAGGAAAGGAAAGGAAGGGAAGGAAGGGAAGGGAAAGGGAAGGAAGGGAAGGGAAGGGAAAGGAAAGGAAACAGGGAGGAGAGGAGAGGAGAGGAGAGAAGAGGAGAGGAGAGGAGAGAGGAGCAAGGGTAAGGTAAAGAAGAGAAGGGTGGGGAGAAAGAAAGGGAAAGGAAGAGAAAAAGAAGGGAAGGAAAGGAAAGGAAAAGGGAAGGGGAAGGGGAAGGGGAAAGGGAAGGACGAGGGGAAAAAGACAAAAGGAAGAAGGAAAGAAAGGAAGGGAAGGGAAGGGAAGGGAAGGGAAGGGAAGGAAAGGAAAGGAAAGGAAAGGAAAGGAAAGGAAAGGAAAGGAAAGGAAAGGAAAGGAAAGGAAAGGAAAGGAAAGTCTGCATTGATAAAGGGATAGAACCAGGATCACATGAAGTATTAGTACCACTTTACAAAGCCTTAATACAGCCACACTTGGAGTACTGTGTCCAGTTTTGGTCACCACAATATAAAAAAGATATTGAGACTCTAGAAATAGTGCAGAGAAGAGCAACAAAGATGATTAGGGGACGGGAGGCTAAAACATACGAAGGACGGTTGCAGGAACTGGGTATGTCTAATTTAATGAAGAGAAAGACTAGGGGAGACATGATAGCAGTCTTCCAATATCTCAGGGGTTGCTACAAAGAAGAGGAGTCAAACCAGGGGTGAAATGTAAAATTTGTTACTACCGGTTCTGTGGACGTGGCTTGCTGGGGGGGGGGTGTAATATGACTGGGTGGGCGTGGCCAACTTTTTTTTAAAAAAAACTTTTCAAAGCATTTTTTCTAATGTTTTGAAAAGCCTCTGCCGATCAGGCAACTCAGCTGGGATCGTCAGAGAGGCTTTTTAGAAAATGCTTTGAAAAGCCTCTCTGACGATCAGGCAACTCACATGCACATGTGCGGGGGGAGGGGAGCACGGGGGGGGGTACCACACCCCGCACGGCTGTTTTTGGGCCCAGGAGGCTGCAGAGAGGCCTACTAGACCCAAAACGGGGGATGGGGGAGTCGTGCAAGGATGGGATTCAGCCGGTTTGGACCGGTTCAGGAAAACCAGATGCTAATTTTACATGGCTGGCCCCGCCCCGCCCCGCCCAGGAGTCTCCATGCAGCCCGTTTTGGATGCCAGGTAAGTGCAACACCTGCTCAGAGGCTCTGGGAGAGCGAAAAATGGGCCTCCCAGAAATTCCAGAAGTCCGGGAACACATCTGTTTCCAGCCTCCAGAGGGCCTCCAGAGCCAGGGGGAGTCTGTTTTCACCCTCCTGGAGGCTCAAGGAAAGCCTCTGGAGCCTGGGGAGGATGAAAATGCCCCCCCATCATGGTGCAGGAGGCTGAGTAGGCCACGCCCACCATGGCCACACCCACCCAGCAACCGGGCACAGAACCGGTTGCTAAAATTTTTGATTCCCACCCCTCACGCGCACATGCACGGGGAGGAGGAGGAGTGTGGGAGGTCACATATGCATGTGCGGGGGGCGTGTGTGCATGCACGGGGGGCGCATTGCATTATGGGTGCCAGCATGCACCCGCGTGTTGGCACACAAAGAGAAAAAGGTTAGCCATCACTGGGCTAAAGCATATGACAAAAGGTTACAGGAAATGGATATATCCAATCTAGTGAAAAAAGGGAGTAGGGGTGATATGATAGCAGTATTGTAGTATTTGAGGGGCTGTCACAAAGATGGGGGCAAACTATTTTCCAAAACACCTGAGGGCAGGACAAGAAGCAATGGATGGAAACTAACCAAAGAGAAAAGCAACCTGGAACTAAGGAGACATTTCCTGGCAGTGAGAACAAGTGGAATGGCTTGCCTTCAGAAGTTCTGGGTGCCTTATATTTACACTTCCAGCAGTCCGGTGTAAATATAAGGATGGAATGGATTTTATCACATGTGGTGGCAATGCCCCAAAGCAAAGAAATATTGGGAACAGATAAGGAGATGGTTACAGGAGATAACAGGAGAAGAAACAGAATTTAAAGCTGAATTATTTTTATTAGGAATAATTAACCAAAGGATAAAGAAGCAACTCCAATATATCATTTTACACATACTAACAGCAGCACAAATTGTATATGCTCAATGTTGGAAACTTGAAAATATACCAGCCAATGAGATGATTATACATAAGATATTAGAATGTGCTGAATGTATAAGCTCACGTTAGAGATGAAAGGCAAGGAAGAAACAGAATTTTATGAGGTGTGGGATAAGTGGTATAAGTGGTTAGACCAGAGAAACAAAAATGTATAGAAATAAATGTAAATAACTGTAAGAGACATGTGACACAGTACTGTTAAAAAAATGTTTATTGTTATGTAAATTGGAAAAATGGAAAATAAAAATTAAAGAAAAAAGAAGAAGTTCTGGGTGCCCCATCTGGAGGCTTTCAAGAAGAGACTGGACAGCCAATTGTCTGAAATGATATAGATTCTCCTGCTTGAGCAGGGGGTTGGACTAGATGATCTCTAAGGTCCCTTACAGTTCTGTTATTCTATGTTCTATGTTAAACTAGCTAAAATTAATTTGCCCCTTTCAACACCTTCCTCCAATATTTTATGCTTCTATGATTTTCATTCATTTTCACTGGTGGAATCTCTTTGACTGCCAAATAACACTGAGCGTCAAGTTCTTATCATTTTTATCTATCTATTATCCCATCCTACACAGGACAGGTTGTGATATATTAAGACAATCATAACTTACCTACTTCTTTCAAGGGTTCCTCCTTTTCAAACGCCTCTGGATATTGTTCTTCTCTGGATATGCTCTGGACTGCTGATGTCCTTTTTAATGGGCTACCCAGAATGTCGAATCTGATTGAACCTGCCCAGAAAAGAGGGGGGAGATTTTGAGTTCTGATGTCACAACACCATATTTTCGTTGCGGCATCCTAAAGTTACCCAAATTCTTTTTCAGAAGTGACAAATCTCCAGGCAAGAAATCCAGGCACTGAGGCCAGTTTCCTGTCTTTCAAGGAAGAGATTATGGAGGACTATTGAGAAGAACTGCTGAGAACCCTATCTGCAAACTTTCATGTTTCAATCTCTTTGCCCACATTAACCACAATTAGTTTTAACTGCTTTCAGAGAAAATAGTGGCATAAAAGTTGTCTCACATGGAACAAGTGGTTGAATATATCCGGAGTTTTGAAGAGCTCAGTTCAAACAGTTGCACAGGATGGTCTTAACAGTGGTAATAGCCCTACTAAGCAGGTATATACAAAAGTATGAAGGCTATTGCTTAACGGAGTGTAAGCAGCCCTGAGTCTCCGGAGAAGGGTGGCATATAAATTGAACCAATAAATAAATAAATAAATAAATAAATAAATAAATAAATAAATAAATAAATAAATAAATAAATAAATAAATAGCTTACAATCAGGAGTGGGCTGCTGGGGGCTCGCAGGGGTTCGGGAGAACCTCTAGCTAAGATTCTGTGCAGTTTGGAGAGCCCCCCAAATCCCACTCCTGGTTAGCCCCACCCACCCCACCCCTCCCAGGAGTCCCCATGCGACCTGTTTTGGATGCAGGGTGCATGCGGAGGCTCGGTGCAGGTGAAAAATGGGCCTACCGGAAGTTCGGGAAGGCCGGAAACGGGCCCATTTCCAACCTCCAGAGGGACTCCAGAGCCCGGGGAGACCGTTTTCGCACTTCCAGAGGCTCGAGGAAAGCCTCCGGAGCCCAGGGGGCAAACTACCCCTCTGTTGTGTTGCAGGAGGCAGACTAGGCTACGCCCACCATGTCCACGCCCACCCAGCAACGGGGCAGAGAACCCCTTGCTAAAATTTTTGAAACCCATCCCTGCCTACAATGTAGCATCACTCATTGGCAGAAGACTCACAGATGCAAATAGGTAGAAATCACCTAAATCACAAAGGCCTAGAACCTCATAAAAATCCATCCACTCACCAGACTGTTTTGTCAGCTGTCCCAGAACCAACTGCTGGGTCACTTCGTCTCTGATTCCAAAATAAATGGAGACCTCCTTTCTAACTGCAGCTTGCCTCCAATTTGTTTCTCCTGCATTTTTCTCCTGGCTTGGAGTGAGACACTGACCGGATTTTAATGCCAACAGTTTGCAGATGCTTCCATGGTCATGTGACCAGCATGACTACATGCCAAGGCACACAGAGCACTGTTACCTTCCCACTGAGTGGTACCTATTTATCTACTTGCATTTGCATGTTTTTGAATAGCTAGAGTGGCACGAGCTGGAGCAAGAACGGAAACTCACCGCATTGATGAGTTAATGCTCCTCATTTTTGGTGGCGGTAGGGAAAAAATTTGAGAATAAACAAGAATACTTTCAAGCCGTTTTGTTCCAAGGAACCGGGTATGGGTTTACATGCTCTTCGCCACAGAGCTGGTGGTGTTGATGGAAGGAATCAGAATGAGCCATCTGTTGTCAGGAATGCTTGCAAGCATCTTTGAGATTGGGAGATGGCTAAATTGAAGGTTTCTTCTCCATTTATGGAACATAGAATAATTGAGTTGGAAGGGACCTCAGAGGTCTTCTAATCCAATCTCCTGTTCAAGCAGGAGACTCAGTGGTGGGATTCAACCAGTTCGCACCACTTTGGGAGAACCGGTTGTTAACTTTCTGAACTGGTTGTTGGAAGAAATCATTAGGGCAGAGAACCGGTTGTTAAATTATTTGAATCCCACCACTGAGGAGACCCTATACCATTTCAGACAAATGGTTGTCCAGTCTCTTTTTCAAAGCCTCCAGTGATGGAGCCCCCACGACTTCCGAAGGCAAACAGTTGATTGCTCTCACCATCAGGAAATTTCTCCTTAGTTCTAGGTTGTTTCTCTCTGTGCTTAGTTTCCAACCACTTGAGGATCCCCAGGTGCACTGTTTATGTTTTATGTTTTATTAAATTTATATACAGCCCTACTCCCGAAGGACTCAGGGCGGTGAACAGGCACAAAATAAAATACATAAATACAAAAGTTAGAAACATAATTAAAACCAAATTAAATAATTTAGCCCAAGACAATTAAAAATCCCAATAATTTAAAACAAATTAAAATTTCAATTTAAAAATTTAAAAGAAAGGGGAGAAACTCAACTCAACTCAAACTCACTGAGCTTGAGTTGAGAGCTTATTGTAATTGGCTGCTAGCTATCCTTGCTCAGGCTAAGCTAATCAATAATGGAGCTTTAAGAATGCCAGTTTATCAATGGGCATGTTCTGAGTTTCAAAACGTCTGGCTTTTCTTCCTCCTACCAGAGACCTTCTGGGGTTCTTCACAGAAAGGGAGAAAGGAGAAAGGGAGGGAGGGAGAAAGGAGAAAGGGAGGGAGAAAGAAGAAAGAAAGAAAGAAAGAAAGAAAGAAAGAGAAGAAAGAAAGAGACAAAGAAAGAAAGAGAAAGAAAAAGAAAAAGGAAGGGAGAGAGAGAGAACGCAGGTATCTCTTAACAGAGGCTTGAACTTGCCTGAAATTAGATCAAGCCCTACATCACTTAACCCAATGTATCAGATTAAATTGTTATTGAATTATTTTTGGTATATATACTACATTCTCTTGTGCAATTTAGTTATAGTGTAAAACTAGTCTATTATGTCTCAAAATAAAAGGGAGATCAAAAATCCAATTAGTGCCATGTAAATTCTGGAATCCCCAAAGACCTTTCCCATTGTATTTATTAAACAAATTTATATAGCTACCCAACTCATATACAGTGGCTATCACTTTCGTGTTCCTTTCATATAGTTCTCAATGTGTCAATCTCCTTGCTACTCTATTTCCTCCACCAAAATTCTATTATAAATAATATTACCACCACACATTACAGCTCTAATTTTGTGTATTTGCGCCAGTAATTTTCAGAAAAAGATTTATTCCTCTCTTACATAGTTATTTAGAAGGAGCTCCATATGTCAGTTTACTTTTACCATTAAAAAAATGTTTTGTTGCATTATATGACTGCAAAAGCCTTTTAGCAGTTTCATGTAACAGGAAATATACAGTAACAATTTTGAAAGTAGTTGTCATAGCCACAAACACCCTCAGCCCAAAAAGACAGAGAAAGAGAGAGAAAGAGAGAAAGAAAGAGGAAGGAAGGGAGAGAGAGAGAGAAAAAAAAACCTCTGTGCTATTATTTTTAATTGTTCCATTATTTATCATGTGTTAATATTTTACACTGTCCCTACACCTAGAATGATTTTACTGCCTTTCTTTTTCCCAGGGCTACCACACATTTTTCAGGGATTTACATGCATTCAATGTCTATAGTCCAGAGCATAAATATGTGTGTGTGTTTATTTTGTACATCAGGTTGCATAAATTCATCTTAATATGCTACTCCTGGTATGTGATGTTTTGTATACATACAGAGAAAGAAGCACTCTTGGGATCTTTGACTTTTACGCTTGCTGTCAAACATCAGCCATAATACTAATTACTGTTTTGAACAATATGCACGAATGGCTATTTTATATGTGAAATTATGTCTGAAATATTTCTACACCTATATTGGTTCTCACTGTCAGGAAGTTTCTCCTTAGTTTTAGGAGAAAAATTAACTTCTCTCTTTGTTCAGTTTCCATCCATTGCTTCTTGCTTTGCCTTCTGGTGCTTTGGAAAATACATTGCCTATACATTCTTTCTGGCAGCCCCTTAAAACTGACCCTTATCATCCAGCTGCCTGCAATTACTGCTAGTTCGAATCTCGCCAGGGTCAAGGTTGACTCAGCCTTCCATCCTTTCTAAGGTAGGTAAATTGAGGACCCGGATTGTGGGGGCAATAAGCTGACTTTGTATAAAATATACAAAAGTATGAAGGCTATTACTTAAAAGCATTGTAAGCCGCCCTGAGTCTCCGGAGAAGGGCGGCATATAAATCAAATTAAAAAAAAACACAAAACCTGTTGCCTATCACACTCTTGGGCAAAGCATGTGGGCCATTTCCTCCTTTCAGTGGTCCATAAAAGTACATCTATAGTATGTAGATAATAAAGTTGAAAAAAGGTGAACAACATTTTTACAGAACTATAGATACGTTGAGGCTGTGTGTGAGACAAGGAATGGCTGGGAGGGGAGGGGCCAGGCGAGGGACCCCTTGACGTGAGTGACATTGAGTTGGCCATGCCCACCCAGTCACATGACCATGAAGCCACTCCCACCATCACATGACCAAGCCACGCTCACAAAATAAGCCACGCCTACAGAACTGGTAGTAAAAAAATTTAGAACCCTGTTCCTAGATTAAACTATTGTTAAAGGAGATAATTCCATTTATTATAAAATAAACTCCAGCTGATGATATGGATAAATTGCCTGGTTCTTTTTCAAGACCAGTCACGAATGACATCTGTTTTTCACTCCAGTTTTAATTCTTGCCTTTTAGAAACAGGTTTACAAGGTGGGGTTTAAGTTTTTTTTTTTTTAATTTTAATTTTTGATTTATATGCCGCCCTTCTCTGGAGACTCAGGGCGGCTTACAATGTGCTAAGCAATAGCCTTCATCCTTTTGTATATTTATACAAAGTCAGCTTATTGCCCCCACAACTGGGTCCTCAATTTACCTACCTTAGAAAGGATGGAAGGCTGAGTCAACCTTGAGCCTGGCAAGATTCGAACCTGCAGTAATTGCAGGCAGCTGGTCTTAATAACAGGGTGCTTTAGACCACTGTACTACCAAGGCTCTTCTTAACCAAGTTAAAATATAGATAGAATAGAATAGAATTTTTTATTGGCCAAGTGTGATTGGACACACAAAGAATTTGTCTTTGGTGCATAGGCTCTCAGTGTACATAAAAGAAAAGATACATTCATCAAAAATCATAAGGTACAATACTTAATGATAGTCATAGGTACAAATAAGCAACCAAGAAACAATATCAATATAAATCATAAGGATACAAGGTAGGTGCTCCAAAACTGGAGGTTATTAAGAAGAAATTGGTCATTCTGTAATATTTGCAGGTTTAGGTCCTAGAAGGATGATATAGTTGATATTTGTGATGCTCCCAGTTAACTGTCTAAAATAAGTTCTCTCTTATTGGCACCTTTGCCCAACATTTCTACTGCCAAATAATACTCAACATCAATGAAGATCTCTTAGAGATCAGCCAGATGTAATTTCTTATAATTTGATCCATCAATTCTAACATTATTCCACCCTTCATTGGACAAGTCTTCAAATATTAGCTGATCCCAACCATCTCTTCACTTACCTACTTCTTTCAGCTGTTCCTCCTTTTCAAATGCCTCTCAATTTGTTCTTCTCTGGGTATGCTCTGCACTGCTGATGTCTGTTTTTATTATGCCACCCACAACGTCAAATCTGACTGAACCGGCCCATAAAAGGGGAGAGGTCTTGCGTCTGATGTCAAATCACCATATGCCCATCAAGGCACCCTAAATTTCTTATTTCAACAGTGTCAAATCCACAGGCAGGAAACTCAGACACCGAGGGTCGTTTCCTGTCTCTGCAACCAGAAATATCGAAAACGTTTGGTTGCAAGCCCATGTCGTGTTTCAAACTCTATGCCCAAATTTACCACATTTGCTTTTCATCACTTTGAAAGGAAACAATGGTTGAATATATCTTGAGGTTGAAAAAGCTGAGTTCAAAACGTGTGTGGGAAAGGTTTCCCACAATGGTAGAGGCCTACAACGAAGCATCGCACTTTGGCTATGCAGCACAAGACCCACAAAGGTAAATCAATAAGGATTGATCTTTCGGCTGTAGACCATGATGAAACCATATACATGCAGAGGATTCAAAGTTGGTCTATGGGCTTCTTCCCCAAAATTTAAATTCTGACTCCCCCCCCCTTCCTTTTCTGACAAGCATAATAACTTTGGAAATATTCTAGTCCAACCTGCTGCTCTAGTAGGAGACCCTATAACAATTCAGACAAATGGTTGTCCAATCTCTTCTTAAAAACCTCCAGTGGTGGAGCACCCACAGCTTCTGAAGGCAAGCTCTTCCCTTGATTAATTGTCCTCACTGTCTGGAAATTCCTCCTTATTTCTAAGTTGGTTCTCTCCTTGGTTTAGTTTCCATCGATTGCGTTGTGTCTTGACTTCTGGGGCTTTAGAGCAGGGGTCTCCAACCTTGGCAACTTTAAGACTTGTGGACTTCAATTCCCAGAATTGGGAGTTGAGGAATTCTGGGAGTTGAAGTCCACAAAGTCTATATCTATCTACATCTCTCTCTCTCTCTCTCAACTTTGATAAAAGGCGACTTCCTTGCAAAGAGCTTATCTTTCAATCTAGTCATTCTTAACCACTTCAAAGTCTCAGATGTTTCCTTGTGGGGAAAGCTTGTTAAGATGCTAGTCATGACTCAACTACAGGCTTCCTAGATCAGCGGTCACCAACTGGTAGTCCATGGACCACTGGTGGCCTGCAAGAAAATTTTGGTGATCCACAGAAAAATTATTTGCATTTTTTATATTGCACTAAATCAGGGGTCCTCAATCTACGGCCCCTGGGCTGGATACGTGTACAGAGAGTCTCCCCCTTCGGGGTCTTCTTGTGTCAGTCGGAGGGGGGCAGAAATTCAAACTTGGGGTCTGCTTCAGCCTCCTGGTGTGGGGCTTTGGGCGAAGGCTGGATGGATGGAAGTGCCGCTGGTGGGACTTGTTCCAGTGGGACAGCATCATGGCCTGGAACTGGCTGACCATCTCAGCCCACTGAGCCTCCAGAATGCAGCAGGACCTACCATCAGCCAGTTTATTACCAATAGCAATAGCACTTAGACTTATATATCGCTTCATAGTGCTTTACGGTCTTTTCTGAAGTGGTTTACAGAGTCACCATATTTCTCTCAACAATCTGGGTCCTCATTTAACTGACCTTGGAAGGATGGAAGGCTGAATCAACCTTGAGCCGGTCAGGATTGAACTGCTGGCAATTGGCAGAATTAGTCTGCAATAGCAATAGCACTTAGACTTATAGACTGCTTTATAGTGCTTTATAACCCTCTCTAAGCAGTTTACAGAGTCAGCATATTGTCCCCAACAGTTTGGGTCCTCATTTTACCCACCTTGGAAGGATAGAAGGATGAGTCAACCTTGAGCCTGGTGAGATTTGAACTGCCAAATTACAGGCAGTCAGCGGAAATAGCCTGCAGTACTGCCCTGTGACCACTGTGCCACCACTGACCACTGTGCAATAGTTCATTCTAACCACTGCGTCACCACAGTAAGATGATAGATACCAGTAAGATGATAGATAGCAATAGCACTTAGACTTACCTACCGCTTCACAATGCTTTACAGCCCTCTCTAAGCGGTTTACAGAGTCACCCTATTGCCCCTCAACAATCTGGGTCTTCGTTTTACTGACTTCTTAACGATGGAAGGCTGAGTCGACCTTGAGCCGATGAGAATCGAACTGCTGGCAGTCAGCAGAATGAGCCTGCAATACCGCATCCTAACCACTACGCCACCACAGCTATTAGAAATATAGATCAGGTCCTACATTGATTCTCAATTTATTTCTGGGTACAGTTTCAAGATCTAGCTTTGATCTATAAGACCTATTATGAGTGAGTCTCTAAATATCTCCACGATCCTATACTCCAGCCAGAATTGTCCCAACCAATGAAATTATCTAGAAAATAATTGCTACTGATACCCCTCTTTTTATTGGGTTGTGTGGCTGTTGCCAGGGGTTGCTGCCAAAATAACAGAGTTGGATAGGACTTGGAGGTCTTCTAGTCCAATGCCAATTCAAGCAGGAGTCTCTCTACCATTCCAGACAAAATGATTGTCCAATCTCTTCTTTAAAACCTCCAGTGATGGAGCACTCACAACTTCTGGAGGCAAGTTGTTCCACTGATTCATTGTTCTCACTGTCAGACAATTTCTCTTTAGTTCTAGGTTGCTTCTCTCCTTGATGAGTTTTCATCCGTTGCTTCTTGTCCTGCCCTCAGGGGCTTTGGAGAATAAGTTGACTCCCTCTTCTTTGTGGCAGCCCATTTATTTATTTTATTTATTTATTAGTTCAATTTAGATGTCGCCCTCCTCCGAAGACTCAGTGCTTACAATGCACTTATAGCAATAGCCTTCATTCTTTTGTATATACCTGCTTATTAGGGCTTTTGGCCTCCCCTATATGCGGTGTTTCTACAAGGTCAGTTTATTGCCCCCACAATCCGGGTCCTCAATTTACCTCCCTCGGAAGGATGGAAGGCTGAGTCAACCTTGAGCCTGGTGAGATTTGAACTCGCACTAATTGCAGGCAGCTGACAGCTAAGTGCTACATAACAGCACTTAATCTGCTGCACCACCAAGGCTCTTGATGTCAATTTGCCCATTGACATCAAGCTCACCCCTTCACCGCAATCAGAAAATGACAAAAGGCTGCACTTTTCTCTGGAAACCTCTGGATGATTCAGTGCCTAAACCTCATTGCTCCAATTATCCATCATTAACAAGGTTCCCAGGTCTCACAAGAAGGAAATGTCATATTGAAAACTGCCTTATAAGAAATTAGCAGGTGAAGCTGTCTGGGGTTTAAAGAGACTAGCATAAGCCATGGCAAAACCTGGTTGCTGTAATGGCCCATCATCTGGTACCCATTACCCTGGAGGGTTTCCATCATTCAGCTTGCTTTTATCTTTCTGGACACGATTGATCTACTTCCACAGAACACAGTTACCATTTTATTTTCTGAGCAAGGTTGGCGGGACTTTCTATGACCTGCAAAATAAAGACTAAGCTTGAGATTGTCCATCTCTGGTTCCCTCTTAGCTCTCCGTGCACTTATCAAATTGTTCAGGAATGGATTTATTCAGCAGAAGGATCACAAGTCTGGCCTGACAAAGCAAGAATTGCAGAAAAGAAAGAATTGCGTACGTAGATTATTTCTCTTCAGCAATACACAACTATCAAAACTTTTGCAAAAGCTTATGCATGTGGCTTTAAGTTTGGGTGATTTTGTTTTCCCAGTAAATGGTTAATGGTTTTATTCACATGCACTACTTATACACATATTACACATGTACTGTATCTCCTTCTTCTCCTCCTCCTCCTCCTCCTCCTCCTCCTCCTCCTCCTCCTCCTCCTCCTTCTTCTTCTTCTTCTTCTTCTTCTTCTTCTTCCCCGTCTTCTTCTCTTTCTCTTTCTCTTTCTCCTTCTCCTTCTCCTTCTCCTTCTCCTTCTTCCCCTCCTCCTCCTCCTCTCAGATTCGGGTTTTCCCAAATGTGCCAGTATACCTACTCAAATAAAAAGAACTTCGAGAGATGCTCGCTTCAGAGTTTTTAATTGGAGAGGGGTTGTTTCTGGAGTGCTGACAGCTGGCTCTTCGGCTTTGTAACAGAGACGAGCACCGCCCCCTAGAGTCAGGAACGACAAGCACATATGTGCGAGGGGAACCTTTACCTTTAAGAGTAAGAACGAGAAATACCATTGGGTAGAAGTTATGAGGATGAGAGAACTCTGATAGGAGCATCTCGGGAGATTGAAATTCCTGTTCAGAAATTTACTGGAGTGAAGATCTAACTGTCTTGGAATGTCTACAGCGCTGGTGGAAGCAAAGAAAGATCAGAAGATGACTGGTAGCAAAAGAGATGAAAAGAGGACAGTCGAAAAGCCCGGAAAGCCAGTCTATCTGTGGCTGCTCAGATTTGACACCGATTTGATGACATATCACCAATCACAATTGCAATAATAGAAGAACATGCGATTTACAGAGCCAGGAAGTACCTCGCGCATTCAAGTTGCATTATCCTGCCTCGCCAAAACCAGTGAAACGAAAGAGAAATCATCACCTCCAATCTGAAGATCAGAATATTATTCTGAAGAGGTGGCAACTGAAACTGATGGTGTTCGATAAGGAGTTCAATAGACATTATTATTTTTAAAGGGGAAATAGTCAATGTGAAAGTGTTAGCTAGAGGAATTCCATCAGTATTTCGTTTCCTGTTTTGAGATACGGGGAAATCAGAATAGGGGTAAAGAAGTGTAGGAAGTTAGCACCCACCCCTCTCCTAGGAAAATGAGATATGTTAGGAAATATTAAAAGGGCAGAATATTTCCCCTAAAAGGGAGGCAGGAACTCAGCCCCCCCTGCTTTTGTCAATGGGCTATTAAAGCCTGGGCCAGTCTATTCTACATAACAAAGATCTCCCTCCTTCAGGCAGAGCCATAGTAGGAATTGCCCAAAGCCCTTTCATTACATCATCACCTAGCAAGAGTCAACCAAGCCTGGGACACAGACAACCTACAAAGTTATCCCTGCATGGCCCCATGGGAGTCTGACAACCAATCAGAATACAA